CAGTCCGAAGATTTCTCTTTATTAGCATGGTATTTTCCATTAAATATTCATAAGTTGTTTTTTCCCAAGACAAAAAAACCCCACAGAAACTTGGTAAGCTGCCAGACAATTAATATTTGTACTCCTGGTATTTGGAACACTCACTGCTCTTAACAGCATTTTATAGTCCTTAACACTGTCCAGGATTAAAAATAGTATTTAATTCTTAACTCTGATTAATAAAATTAGTAAGTTGTAATTGAGAGAAATAACAATTAGTAGAAGACCAAAGGCAATAAACTAAGACAGAGCTCAGGTTTGACATACAAAATATTAAGAAGCACCAAAAAATGCAGCTTATGTGGGAGACTGAGGGGAAGATGAAGAAGAGGTACCTGACCTTTTCCTGGGGAAATGCTGCATGATGACACCACATGATTCATGTGAACCATGTTCTGGGCTTGAAATTTTAAATAACATTGGTGAAAGCAGGTTTAGGTTTTCTTCTGCAGGAAAAAAAAAAAAAATACAGAGATTTATCTAGTTTCATTGCCTCCTGCGTAATCAATTCCTTGCCTCTTACTTAGATGGCACATCCCAACCAACAGCTGGCAGTGTCAGAAACCATTTTAAAGTAAGTGAAGGGAAAAAAAAAACCCCAAACACTATAGTATATTTTATTATGAACTCACAGTATCTGTGGAAATCACACAGTGTCTGATCTGCCATAATGCAGAAAAACTGATCTTTATCTCAACCAAACAGCTTGCTTAATCATTTATAACATTGGGACAACCAGACTTAAAATTCTGTAACCTGTTTTGAAAGTAGTAACCTAAAAAAAGAGGAAATAAAATTATTCAATTATATATTAGAGCTGTCCTACCACCACTGCAATCAAAGTGGCAACCTCCTTAAAGCGTAGGCAAATAACAGGGGAAAGCAATGCCTTGGAATGCTGCAGTTACATTTGCCAGAGGTTATCTGCCAGAACCCACAGCGAAATTAATGAGAAGCCTACTACAAAAACACTGACAGCACTGTCAATACTTTGAAGGACAAATTGCTTTTAGACTCACCTGAAAGCATTGGTTGTTAACACTGGCTCTCTGTATTTCCATAACAAGCAGGAAGCGAGGCACAGGAGATCTGTGGAGTGGAACAGTTGGTACTGAGAGCCCAGCACCTGCTACAAGTAGTCCAGGTCCTGCAGACCAAACACCCACTGGCAGCTGAACAACCTTCCAGGCCAATTCTCCTGGAAGAGTCCTGCTTCCCAAGACTAGTCCATGATGACATCTAAGCACTGGAGGCGCAGAGTACCATGAGATTTGCTGGGAACACACACTCCCCATGCAAGCAAAAGCACTTGCACAGAACACCCAGGGGGTACAACACACCTGCAGCTGTTCATGCACACACAGGATCCTTCTGAAACAGGCCCAAACTAAACTGTGGCTTAACACAGCTTTCTGCTCACACTGTTTAATCACAGGTTGTCAATACCTTAAAAGATTATCAGAAGCCAAGCACCATGTCCTGCTAGGCAGTAAGATGCTAAACATCCTTCATAGTATAGTCCAAGATACAAGGAATAGACACAGAGCTGCTAATAGCCTACGTGATCACGGTTTCACTCTAAAACACCCCAAAATGTAAAAAAACTACAAAAGAAAAAAAAAAAAAAAAAAGCACTACATAAAACCAACCTAAAGACCTTCTTTGGAAATTGATATTCAAATCCAGTATGTCATTTTCAGTTTCTTTCTCAATAAACCCTGCCCAGCCACAGGACAATGATAATCTGCAAAGTATTCCTCAATACCTTGTCCCAGTTTCACCTTTTTTAAATCAACCATAGCAGTCTCAGAATAAAAGTAACTGGACCATTAAACGATGTTTGTAAAATTTCACCAAAGAAAACTTTCAGGGGACTTCCAGGAGAGCTGAAGGGTTTCCTTAAACCATTTTCTATTTGATTGCCAATTTAAAGTTCAGAATTCTCTGGTCCTGACAAATTATCCAACTCCACCAATCCTCACACCTCCAGAACTGATGTCCCACACAACTGATGAAGCAATGTTTCAGTGCAGACAGCCTGTAATACCCATTAGCAGGATCTTAATTTCCCTTGTTAGGTAGGAGTGATGTTCTAAAGAAAAATGATCTTTCAGGTTGCTTTCACTGAAATATAAACACTCCCTTTTCCTGGTCTCCATGGTGAGAATGCCTGAACACCAGCGAGCTGTTTAGAATACGGCTGCCATCTAGGAGCAGAGCAGAGGAAATGCAGAGAAATCTCAAGCCAAAATCTGAACTGTGAGACCACTTGATGGTCAGACATGTTATTACACAAAGTTATAAACACTGGAAGCATAGATCTTTAGGGAAAAAATGGCTAAGAAGTGGCAGAAAGCAGAATTTGTTAAAAGGTGGTTTACAAACAGACAGTTCCCAATACAATCCTAAATTATTTGGTTCACGACAGTTTATCCGCTCAGGCAAGTCAACATGTACAGAGGTGCAGTGGTACTGCACTTTATCTTCTTTTTTTCATTAAAAAACTGCAGCCTAATTCAATTTTTCTGAAAGAGTATTTCTCCATGTGAGGCTGCAGGCTACAAAAAATGAAGTGAAATAAATGAAGTCAGCCTGAACCACAATGACAGTCAAAAGCAGAGCCTAAAATCTTACACTGAAACTAGTAACAAGAAAACCTTCACGTAAGCAACTTCCTGAAGCCTTACCATATTTATTCTTGCTTCTCATAAACCATGCAGCTTCCAAGCAAGTCAGAGCTGCAGTACATAGAATTTTACTTTCATCATTCAGCTGTCACTGGCTTTATTTTACTTTCATAAACTGAGAACAAATGCAATTTACAATTATAATCTAGTGATTTGCCAGTGTCTCATCCATGGATCATCTCTAGCACACAAAAGAAAGAGCTCTTGAGATCCATCATGTTGATGCCTATTTTGTACAAAGCAGACACTTTCCAGTTCAGTTACTGAATATGTTCCAAGAAATCTGTCTTGGCACACCACAGTTACCAGTGCTTTTGGAAGAGGCCGAAATGTCCTGTCTATACAGGAAAGAATGGCTTGTTTCTGGTTGGTGGGAAGAGAAAGTCAGGTTTCCTGCTTTGCCAGATCCCCTGGCAGAGACCCATTCCCTCCCCAGAGTGTTTTCAAGGCCACCTGCTTCCATCACAGCTTTCTCAAAGAAACTGGAAGCCATCAGGGGAAGAAAAGTAGCCTGAGGATACGTGGGAAAGAGATGACAGAAGTGACCTCGGGAATACAAAGAGAAGAAATAACGAAATAGAACTCAACCACTGTTTCAGGAGAACCTCCACCAATGAAGGAGAATAAATGGCCTTGCACATTTGAGAGGTACAAATGTGTTTTTCAAAAGTACTGATTAGAAAAGGCACCAATCTAAATGTAGAAATTAATTTACAGTTTTGTAACATCCAACATTAATTTTGGTCCTGTGACGGTAATCAATTCCATGTGCAGGAGCAGAAAGAGACAGAAACCTGTAGGAAAGCAGGTCAGAAACCAAAGAGACTGCCTTGGCAGCTCCCTCTCTCCCTTCCTAACACAGCACATCTCATTCCAGCATCACAAGCAACACCAGCCTGACCACACCCTTAAGTCAGAACTTCCCTTTTGTCACTGGGACTTGTAACTTACCATGTAAATGTATTCTCTATCCTTAAGACTCATCTGTCCTTACTACTGGTATCTGTGACAGGCCACAGTTCTGGGAAGCACAAGTTCAATGATGCAGAGAAGTAGATCTTGTATTTGCAATTTCTCATTTACTGGAATAAAGACAAATGTGTTTTAGTGGCTTAACCACATCTGCACACCATCTCTCTTATCCAGTGTTAACAAGGATGCAAATTATTCCTTAGGAGTTAAGGAGTGAAAAACCCTTTCCATGCTTCCTGCTTTCACTTACAGAGTTTGCATTTGATCAGTGTCTTGTGGCTTAACTTGAAGCTATCACAGCTCCTTCTGTTAATCAGTAACTAATAAACAGCCAGTATTTGATAGTCCAGCTTGATTAATAAACATCTTGGCTTCCACCCAGAGATCAGTTCTATAGCTGAACCTCATTAGGCAATTCTCATTACTCAATGTCATATGAAAAACCACCAGTAATACTGAAGAAAAAGACATTTAGTTGCATTCCCCCTCCTAGAATACAGCAAATGAAAGGTGACTAAACCCCAGTGTGTCAGATTCTGTGAATGTAATTATCTCCTACACTTCCTCCCTCAGGATTTCACACAGCTTGAGGCTTTGGGGTTTTTTCTTGGTAAAATAAAGTCCCTATATAGTTATTAAAGGAAGAGTTTTAGTTGACTAACCACTATACCACTTTAAGAAAGACTACTTTGTTGAATGTCTTCCCCAGAACTATTTATATCAAAACAGCTCATTTTTGCACACTCAGGTAGACTTTGCTTTGGCATTTATAGTCAACAATCCAAACACAATACCAGTAAGAATTTTACTTTTAAAAGACAGTCAAAAAAAGCTATGGGGAGTAAAAGGAAGTACCACATCATGTTTGGGAAATACCAGTCACAGGATGCCAACTGCAGATCTACATTTCTGATGTCTCCTCTCCCTCTCCAGTAAGTAATGAGCCAAGAAAAAGTATGGGACAAGAACTTACCAGCTGGACAAGGCAGATACTCAGCAATTAATTGTTACAGAACAAGTTCTTGGCTCTCAAACCTCAGGAGTCTGACCCCCTAAGTACATGATTTTTAAAAAACAACTCTATGGAGCAAGAATTATTTTTTTTTCTAGCAATAATTCTTTGTCTAACAAAATAATACTCCCAAATTAAACCACTTTTATTTTTTTCCTACCAGAAGCATATCACACCTATTAAAAAATGTAAAACTGAAGTCATACCTAGCATGAATACCATATTTGTAAAAGGATTAAACCAACACACCCTGAGTACCACAAATGTACTTAATTCTCCATTCAATAAAATATTGGAATATCAATTTATTAAAAAGTTATGTGAACTGTACATACGTAAACTGCAATATAGCTGAAAAATCTGAAATATATAATTTTAAAGGAAAATCATTTATTTCTGAAAATATTTAAAATATTGCATTTCTGGCAGCAAATTCAAAAGAAGTGCTCTGGAATGGGTGCAGTCTCTCTGTGCATTTGTCTAGCATTTGTCTTCAAGGCGTGAAACATATCTGCTTTCTGATTTTTCACAGCACAATCTTGTGACCACTTTCTTTCTGATTTGTAGAGACAGAATTTGATTTCCAAGAACAGGAGTAGAATTTTTAACAGGAAATGCTATGGTCCTTGTTGGTGCAGACAACATACTTTCCGAGAGTCCATGGCACCTTGGAAATCTGCTAGCCATCCTGCATAAAACTGCATCAGATTGTGCTCACAAGTTAGAGAATAAGTCTTTGATTGATAATTTTTCTGTTTATTTCCGCCAAGGCCACTGAAAATACGAAGGCCTTTTCATCTGAAAGGTTAGCATACATGTCAACTTCTTTTTCTTGTTTCTCTGTAGAAGAAAAAAAAAGTCACTATTAGAAGCCTTTTCCATTATTTCAAGTTAATGCAAGTTACACAGAAATTAATAAATTATGTGAAGTACTGGAATTTAAGTTAGACAATCGACTCCTATGCACAGAGGGAGTGAGAAAGAGGAGGAAGGAACAGATGCACACAAAGGTGCTGGAAGAGCCACAGGATGAGTCAGCCAAAAGCATGACTGAATTTCTCTTCTTTAAAAACTGATGGGAGAATGAATTGTTAACATAAAGATAATCAAGTATTCAAGTGTTCCTTCAGGGTTTTTTTGGTTTTAGTGGTTTGGGTTTTTTCTATACATGACCACCTCCCATCCAAGAAAACAAAGTTATTTCACAATATCCTCATTAAACACAAGATTTGCCCCCTTACTTTACAACTACATGAAAGAAATCCTAGAGTTTAACGACAGGGTCAAAGGCCAAAGAGCCTTTGATACTTGGATGCAGTCAGGCTCCAAATTTATCATTGTGCATATTTCTGGACTTTCTACACTGCAGACTTTCCATCTTATCCCAGCTGTAGAACAATGCTAACACACCTCATTGAGCAAGTAAAAGCCCATGAGTCCCCTTTGCTGATGTTGGCTTGCTTGAATGCCACAGACACACAACAGGAAGCCATCAAAAAGTTTCCATACTGCAGCGCTCAAATAAACTAAGTTATGCTACAAAAATTCATAAAATTTGAGCAATACCACTTGCATAAATACCACCTCCTCCAGATCCTGACTAGTTCTCTCCCAGTTTAGCTAGCCACACAAATGGTTAAGAAAATAAAGCCAACAAAAAACCTATTTTGTCAGCAGAAGACCAGGCTTGTAGACAGAAGGAAGAGAGAAATACATGCAGAGCTTTCAGCTGTGGAACTCCATCTCTAATCCAGGTTCCATGTGGCCTGGACTAATTTCCAATTACAACACAAAGCTCACTTGAGAGACCCCTCTGTCTCACTAACACACAGTCACAGTGTCCACACTCTGGCAACTGCTCCACCAAGACACCTAAACTAGCATGGGGAAGCCAAAGAAAAAGCAGTATTGTGAACTTACAGAAAGCACAATCAGGAACAAAGATCCCAGCAGATCCTATCTCCACTTACCCACACAATTACCCTTCAATGGTTTCACACTCATAACAATGGCTTTAGATTTGGCTTCACATTTGTGTTACAGCTATGGAGAGAACTCCAGCACACTGCCTTCCGTGTGAAATCAAACTGTTCAACAACTGAGTGGGAGAAGCTCCAAAATCCTTTACCACTGTGTTTTGATTTAATACTGACACAGAAACACCAGAAATCAGCTTTTTGCTGACTTCCTGGCTATGCAAGGCAATAACCTCTAGAGTATTGAGCTTGAAATGGATTTGAAAGTGAGTTTTGCTACCACTCCTACCCCACAGTTTAAGACAAATCAGCTTCTGTATGTACACTTCCTCCCTCTCACCATTTAAAAATTAACAATGCTGGGAGTAGTTCTGAGTACAGACACTACACACACTGGTTATTCCACATTAACCTTTTCTATTTTCATATCTATGCCCCACCCTTTGTTTCATACTTCCTGATCCAAACGAATCCAGCCACAACTTGAACAAATCAGCATCCAGCAAAATTAAAAATACTCCCCCTGCACCACACCCTGGTTGCTGTTAACAGACTGTGGACTTCTTAGTTTCCCCTCCTCCCCATCCTCCCAGATCAGCATCACTCTGAGGCTTCAGCTTAGTGAAATCTTGGTATCAAAGAGTATGAGGGATTAACAGGTGTGCAGGCTTCATGCACTCTCAGGGCAATTGTAGTTCTCATTAGTAATAAGTGAAGAGCTCACACCTGCATGACATTTTATCCTACACTACTCCTAGGATACAACAGCTTCCACACACACTCTGAAAACTTTCCACTTCAGTCTTATCTGAGTAGTTTTGACTAATTTCTCTATTATGAGCAAAAGAAAAATAGTATTGTGCTTGTACAAGACAGTTAAGACATGAAAAAATAGGGGGTTTGCTATAGAGCTAAGAGGCTATTTAGGCAAAAATAGTTTTTCTGGATCACATCTCTTGTATCCCCAGATCTCCTGCAACCCCCTTATACTGCAGCCCTTAAAACATCGATTATGTATAACTCACATATGGACCTCCCCCTTCACAAAATTTTTATGGATTAATTTTTCAAGATAGCAAGTTACTTCAAATATGCACACTGGGCAAGCAAATGTGTGAGTAAAGCAGCTGGAAATTACAGGAAAAAGAAAACTTGCATCATGAAAATGTATTCAGCTTAAGTTTTATTAGGATACTGAAATGTATGTATGTATCTTTATGAAGATTTGGCCTGCTAAGTAACAAGTCTGCTTTAGCAAGTCTACTACTCTTACTGAGACTTACTTGCTGGTAACCTTTTTCAGAACAACCACTACCACTTCCTCTAGCATATAAGGGTTTTTGTTTGCTTTAATACAATCAGAGTTTTTACCCAGATAACAAGGCAACCTGGGAATCAGTCTAGCTGTGTGTCACAGCCCCACAGAGTAAAAGAAAGAACACACCTCCACAACCAAATCAAATTATTATGGAGTGCTTGTATTTTCAAAATACATTGTAGTACATCTGACAAAGAAATTAAATTACAATTTTGACAAGCCAAGGCTGCAGAGAGGAGTTCCTTTTTTCCAGGGTCATCACATGGCTCTGAAACATGTGATAACATAATTTTCTGGGTCCCAGTACTGCCATATCCCCTCAATCTACATCTGCTTCCTCTTTCCTCCCCCTCCATTCCTTCTTGCTAAATCTGCAGGGAAAATAGCTTGTTTTAAAAAGCCTTTTTGCTTATTCTATTCTTAATTGCTGCAGCTCTTTGTTCTAATGTGAGCCAGTCACGAAGGACACAAAAGAACCAGTCAAAGGCACAGACATAACTGGGAACAAGCACACTGTGTATGGAATTGCATGACAAGCAAGGAAGCAGAGCCACAGATGTCATCAGGGTCTTTAGGAAAGAAATCTTCACAGCTGGATGGTCTTCAAATGTACAGATAATCTGCTCTTCCATGTTAATACAAACGAGGTGTTTTCTGTCTGCCTGTTTTTCCATCTACAAATGCATTAGGAACCAACTATCTAAACCATGCAAGCAGGGGCTTCTTTTCAAGTCTTTGGGGTAAAAGCACAACCCCTAGTGGCAAGTAACACGTACCCAAAATATCCTCAAGACACACAACAGGCAAGGAAATAGGATCATGACATCTTGCACTCCAGAGCTGACTTTCAACACACACAGACTGCTACAAGGACTAGCAACCACTCACACAAAAAACACCTTAACTGTAGTAGAAATAGAGTTCCTTAATATACACAAACAACACTATCAAGGAGCACATGTGGTAAAGGAATAATATTTCTAAAATTCCCACTAATTACTCCACATACAGTAGTTTCAATTTTGTAAGGAACTTGAAAAGGAAGAGGTCAATGTTAACTTGTTTTAGTAATTACTTACAAAAAGATTATCTCCCTGCTGAATTTATTTTTATAGCCATGGCAGCCTTTTATGTCAATTTTTTTTTTAATCTGCCTGACAATCAGCACAGTGGTCTACACACATTACAACCTGACATAACCAGAAGTAAAAAAACATATTCTAAGCCTACTTACTCCTGAACAATAAGATGAGCTGCACTGGGGCAAAGACAATGACAAATGGGTGTGAGCCAAATCCCTACACAGGAGGCTGAGGAAGAAACAGCCATCAAAACAAGAAAAAAGATCAAGGAAAAGGAACGGTAAAAACAGCACAAGAAGATGAAGGCAATCTTATGAAGTAAGATTCAACTTTAAGGAAACACTAAGAAAAGGCACACCACACACACACACTTATGCCAAGATCCCACTATATCCAGATATTGTGTCTTCTACCTCCAAGCACTGCAGTATTGTCACACTTTGGAGTTTGCAGCAAAAGGTTAGAAACATTCACCCTAGTTTTAGATAGGAAAACATGTTCTCTTAATATCTCTCCCATTGTCAAATTCTCGCTTTTTGAAAACTATAAAACATGTCTTAAGAAAACGGATCTTTTCCTTTGGTTGCTTAGGTTGCTTTCCTCTTCGTCAGGGGACAGAAAAGAAGATTCACTTTTAAAGGGCAATCCAACCAGCTCAGTGGAATTTTAAGCTGTTTGTGAGCTAGACTGGCACTTAAATGCCTAGAAAGGATCCTAAAGCTACCAGACAATCCAGCTTGGGTCAGTAACAAATAGGGAAGCTACACACATCAATAAGGCATATGCAGTAGTGGAGAGATTAGATACTACAAACTGCATTTCTACTTCAGTAAAACAATTGCCATCTGGAAAATATACAGAAATTAAATTCCACCTCCTCCTCCCACATTGAAAGCACTAAAAACCCAATGAAATCCAAATTTATACTTGTATTTTTTAAGAAACAGATTTATATTAAACAGCAGAGATAGCAAACTTGGTTTTAAGAAGTCAAATTGAAGGAATTTTCAACATGGATTAACATGCTTTTTTTTTTTTTTTTTTTTTTTTTTTTTTTTTTTTTTTTTTTTTTTTTTTTTTTTTTTTTTTTTTTTTTTTGTAAGGTGGAAAGGAATAAATAATTGCATTTCTGAATTATGCCACTGATATACTTCAAGATTTCAGGAGTTTTGGGAACAATATCTGCTGAATATTTGTATGAAGTATTGTCATTCCGCTTTTATGTGCCTTCCAACCTTCTGAAGCCCATGCTAAGTTTTGGATTCATAATAACTCAGGTCTAAAATTACTATCTCAAAAAACACAGCTAGAAAATGCACTTAAAACAAGAGGAACCCTAAGCGACAGTTACATTCTTGAGAGGTTCTAGAAATACTCGAGCTATGTAACAGCCTGTTTATTGTAAAATGATTAAAACAACAGGGCACCAAGGAACTTTAACAGACAAGGAATCATTCTTTCCTCCAGAAACACGGGACAAAAATTCAGGTCATAGTAGTGATTCAAGATGCCCTTTTTACTTTAGCCCTCCAAAAGCTTTCCAGAAACTTTTTAAGTAATCCAGTCATCCTAATCCCCTCTCTGACAACAGATATCATTATATGGTTTCTCCTTGTGATACAGAGCAGCAGCACCTCAACAAAAACCAAACAACACCTACTTAACACTTCAGTCCAATAGCTTTCAACCTACATGTTGAAACTTGATACAGTGGCTAAGAATACAGATTTAGATCTTTGTAGTTAGTTTCATCAGACACTGAAACATAAAACCAGAGGTCTCTACATATGCAAATTAGTCCCTTCCCAACATTAAGGTATCAAGTACTGGCTAAACTACTCTACTTAAATGGTTTGAACGGTGTAAAGGTTTGCTAATTAAAAAAGATACAAATAGAAAAATCCAACAAACAGATTTCTCCAGCTCTCATACCTCTTTCTTCCTCGTGCTTTTTCGCTGAGGCACTCTTAGGTCTTCCTCTTCCTCGTCTGCTATGGTCTGAATGGCTGTTAGACCTGGATCTTTTTCGGTTTTCTAAGTCTTTATTTACTGCAGAATTGATCTTCTCTCGCTTAACTCTCTCTGTCCGCCTCCTTTTGGCCTCATTCTTGTTTTCTGTGCAAATGAACAGAAACGGCATGATCCAGGATTGTTTTCACCTTTGTTCTTAATTCACTCTTAATGCTTACCCCACCCAATCAACCTTTTCTTTTCACGTGTTTAGATGCCTATACCTTTACAGAGCCAGCTGCACAGGACCATCTCCAGAAGGCTTTTGAGTACCTCCAAGGATGGAGACTCCACAACCTCTTGGACAACCTTTGCCAGTGCTGGTCACACTCACAGTAAAAAGCACTTTCAAGAGCTGCCTTCCAGCAGCATGTTTCCATTTTGCCTCCCCTGGTGCATTTCCTCTGTGCAAAACTGAATTATACAACCAGATTATGGCCTTCAGCTTCATTTGGTAATTACTTTATCAAAAAAGAAGGAGGAGGAAAGAAAATTGATCAACACTTTCAATCTACCGGAGACATTTCTTAACTTCCAACACATTGAAAGTTCAGTTGTCTGCATAATGTCACCTAATTCCTACAAGTGGTAATCTACAGCTATCCTTCAAAACATTGACACAAAACATCAAATGGCTGACTTCCATTGTGGAGATCTGGTAGATAATTTTAAAAAATAGCTGTTATAGATCAGATATTTGTTGGGTTTGGGTCAGGTTTTTTGGGGTTTTTTAAATACATATATTCCCCTGTCAGGCTCTTTGTCTGACTTAATTCCTAGCACTGGAGGAAGCGATATAAATGAACACAAGGAGAATGCTATTCATGCCAGAAAGCACATTCAACTGACTTCTTACTGTGTCCATCAACAAAAGACACATAAGGCAGGCACAAAAAAAACACTATTTAATTTAATCATGGAGAGAGAATCAAGATCCACCCAGTTTTAGATAAAACATTATGACCAATTTTTATTTTCAGAAAATCCAGCTTCAATCAGCATGTGCTCTGAAATCAGATCCTTTTGGGACCTCTACACATTTTAGCTTCAAAACAGGATTAACACAAAGCATTCTGTAAGGTGTTATTTTGCATAGTGCTCAATGTGTGCAGCTGGAATATACACAGAATAAATGCTAACATCATGAGGACAAAGGAAGCCTGAAAACACCAGCTTTCCTCCTCTCCCCATAATTCCAGAAAAATTAACATATTCAAAGTCTACCATGCACAAATTGAAGGAAAGTGAACTGACAACAGTCAATTTACACAGAGAAGTAAAACCCACTATCTTTTGTCTCCAGGAAATAAGGGGAAAGAACTGTTGCTCCCTTCTTCTCTCCTCTGCAATTATTACCTGTGATGGGTGGTGATCTCTCAGCACGTTTAGCATGCAAGAGTTTTCGACTGATAAATATGTAGCCACAGGGACATGATTTACATGCAACAGGAACCTGGGAAAACAAAAGACAAATTTTTCAGAAATTTCAAATTATGACAAAATTCCTGTCCCATGAAGAAAAAAATACACTAACTCATATTTTGTCCTCAGAGATAACTCTTTAAACTCAGTCTGTACTGCAAACTACAGCCTGTCCTGTTACTGTATTTAAACATAAAGCTAAATTCTGCTGTAAATCACTCACCTTTCTTTAAAGCCTTTTCTTTATGCAGCTGTTAAAAATCAAGCTTGAAATGTACAGCTGTTGCGATTGCTTTGCACTTCTTTTCCCCATACTGACAGGAAGGGGGTGGGGGAAAGTAGAGAGCATTAAAAGAAGGCTGAATTAAAACAGAATTACAGTTTCTTTTCAGAGCTCTCAAATATCGGTACTCAAATCAGTCAGACATTTCCAGTTTTGCTTCCTCTATATACTTGTAAAAAAAAATAATTATGAGTTAAAACCATCAGTACATTGTGAATGCATTCACTTCCAGCAGCATTTGAAAGCAGCTCCTTTAGAGAGGAGCAGCTTTAGAGGCACAATAGAGCCTGAAGCAAAACAGATGCATCTGTAGCCCGCTCTGCTCCAGCGCTGCAGACAAGGCAACAAGGCCGGGTGGGTACAGAAGGACCTCTTTAATTGAAAATGCAAATAACCCAGCCCAGGCAGGCAAGAACTGACTGCAGGCCCGGGAGTTTGAGAGAATACAGTGCCTCTGATCAGCTAAGCAGACAGCAGCAGTATGCTTCCCCCAGAAAATGACAATGTAAAACAAGAAATGCCATATTTAATATGAAAAATAACAAAAATCCACTCAGTGCAATTAAAAAAAAAACCTGATAAATTACAAAATTCGTTACCTTAGTGCCAAGATCTTTTAAGATCTTTTAGAGTACTAAGCAATACACCATGTTGCTTTGATTAGGTTTAAGACTGAAAACACAAATCAAAGCAAGTTTAGGCAGAGATCTGGAAGAGATTAAGTAACACACATTACAGTGGAGTCATGCTGAAGCATGATAGTGGGGGGAAAAAAGAGGCAATTTCTCAAATGTAATTCTTTAAGACAGGTCACTACAAGTTTGCCAATACCCACTGGAACAAACAGGAGCACAGAACCACAACTGCCCCCTCAATTTAACCAGACATGAGGAAGAACCAAGTTCCAAAGTTCCACTGACTCAAAAACCCCTGCCAAATTAGTATGTGAATTTGTACAGGGGAACTTAACTGCTACTCAAAATAAACAAGTTATTTTGCTTTCTGTAGCACATCTGAACTCCTGCATTTCATCCTACAAAAAGCTTGCAGATAGACTTTTTGACATGGGTTTTGCAGAACTAGAAATTTTAACTCCCTTTATGGAGACACTGATGTGATAAAAACGAGTCCAATAGAGCTTTCTTGAACTTTAAAGGCCAGAATTTAGCAGACTTGTGTGCACATTTGTCTCCTGGTTCATATGCCAGTGTAGAAGTACTAAAGCCCCATGATCTCACTGATAATTTGTGTGTGTTCTTAAAGTGATACAGAATTCCAGTTAAATCCATTTCTGAACACTTGGGTCTCTCCAATAATTACCTTTCCAGGCTTGTGGCAAAAAAAAAAAAAAAACAACAAAACAAAAAACCACAAAACTTTGGCAAAGCCACCCAAGGGGATTGGAACAGGGTCAGTATTTTAGTATTTTTCAACGAACTCAAGTCTATTTAACAGAACAATACTGTTCTCGTGTTACAGGTTTATCACGTAGGGGTGTGCAGCACTTGAGGGTGAAGGGGCCTGGAGGAAGGGGCTTATCACTGAAACCTATCAGTTATCCTTTGAAGATCCACACTGATAACATCTTGCATCATAATTAAGGCAAAAGAGTCCTAAACACTATTTCACATTGTTCATCATTTTCCTAATAAAAAGGGAATTTTTCTCATAGAAGACATTTTACCTGATGCTAAATTAAAAAGTGATTATTGTTTCCTCAGATTGCCTACAAGTACTTCAGGCTCCCTAGTTTAATGGAGCTGTGCTTTGATTGTGAAAATACTGAAATTTATTATCTAAATTACAACAGAAAAATGTTTTGAAGTCTAAGAAGTGTAACTCAATATTTTGCTCCAATAATTGTGGCTGTCTAAATATTTCCGTTAATGTCACTTCTACTGAAAAAATCAGAAAAAAATGCTAAGCCCTTGCTCATGGAAGCATTTAAGAAACACCAGCATTGGACACAGTCAGAGAAGGATTATATGAGTTTCCTCAAAATCTGCAAAGGGTTGACTTGTACTGTTGGCCTTAGTTCCTTGCTCCCTCTCAAATATTTGGCAGTGGAAAACAAGGTCCTATGAGCAATGTGTGCCAGGGCAGGACATATAAGCACATAAAATCCATGGAAGCCATGGAAGAGCTCCTAACAGAAAATCTACATTGACAAAAATTAAAATACATGATATGCATGTAAGTGCAGAACAAAGTGACAGTTTTCACGTCAGCTTAAAAAATCCTACAGTGCTTCCTTACTTATTGTTGGTAGTTTGACATTCACTACATTTATAAAAAAAAAAGAAAACAAAAGAAAAACACCACCACTCTCGTGTATGATTTCTCCCTCGTTTTCGTTTCTCCTTTCACCAACTGAATAACCAGAACTTGGCACACGATTTCTTTCTCAGAAATAGCATTTCAGTGACGTGCTTAACGTGCATTTGCAGCGGTTGCTCTGTTGGTTAAAACATGAAAGGACGCCCACACACAGCTCAGCGCTCCCAACCGTGCCAGGATGAGCAGCAATACTGCAAAAACTATGCAAGTCAGAACAAAAAATGCCATTTTTTTTCTAAAGCTCTGCAAGCAGAGAAAAATGATATGAGGCTGTTTATGTTTTTCCAGGTGTGGCTAAAGCAGTGAAGAGGGGTGACTTTCGGGGTCACAGCACCGGGGTCCCTGTGACAGGCGCTGCCCCCCGGCCGAGCCCGCGGCACCGCCGGGCCATTGTTCGGGCTCGGCTGCACGAACCGGCTGCTTCCAGCACTCACATCACTCCCAGCAAACCAGACAAGCTCCTGACACGGCAAGGCAGCGGTGCACAGCTCTGTATGTGCGAGCAGCTCCATTTTGTGCACGCCAGGAACCCGCAACACCAGCATCTCGGGCGGCACTCGGGGACCGGGCAGCAATTGCACCAAAGGTCTCCATTTCGCTGCTCCCCGACCACCCCCGGAGAAAACAACACCTCTGAGCCCTCTCCCGCCGAGACCCGGGCTCACCAGTCATCCAAAGGACAAACTGCATTATATACATCACCCGGTTCATTGTGTTTTTAATACATCACAGAGTTACTGAACAACACCAGCACATAAACAAGAGGTTCTGCAGTCGCGCAGACACCCCTCAGCACAATACAACCACTCCACTACCCTGCCGGAGGGACGCGGCGTTCAACCCGCATTCCATGCAGAAGCTGCAAAGGCAACAACCATTTGGATCACACAAACACCGACTCGAGCCCGCCCCTGCACAGCCCAGCGTGCGCCGGCAGCCGCTCACCTGCTGGTCGCACTCGGGGCAGGACTTGGTGGCCATCTTCACTTTCTTGGCCCTACTGGAGGACATGCTCGCTGCTGCCGTGGCTGGGCTGACACGGCCGCGGCGGAGCGCCCGCCCCGGGAGGAGC